AGAAACACTAATCCCTATATTGCCCTGAACAGGCATCTTTGTTTAAGCAAATAGTAGATAAGCAGGTCCTACAAGCTCCAGCAGCAGTTCGTCTTCGTGTGCCTGCCACGCCTTGACACATGCCACGGGCTGCTGCTGTGCCAGATTACCCCAAACCCTAAACTTGGGATGTTCCCCCTTATACTATCAGTCTTTCATCGGGATTATAGTACCCCCTATGATAATCCCTATCAAGGACTGTTAGGATAAGTGGGAGCTTCCCAACCCTAAACCCTGGTCCTGACACTCTCCCGCGACACTGCACTTTGCGGAGAACCTCTGAAGTATCCCCGACAGAAAGAACCCTAAACCCTAAACCCCCTATGTGCGAGTGCTGGGAGGGTGGCAACAAAAAAGCCCTAAATCAGCCGCAGGGTTGGATTCTGCTTGCGAGTCTGTTTCAAAGAGTCAGGGTTTAGGGTTTAGGGTTTTTAAAGGTTTAGAGGGCTTGTAGGGTTTAGGGGTTTTAAAGGTTTATAGGGCTTTTAAGGTTTTTAAAGGTTTAGGGGGCTTTTAGGGTTTTCTTTGAAAGGCTTATAGGGCATTTAGGGTTTTCTTCTAAAGGTTTACGGGGCTTTTAGGGTTCTTGTAGGGTTTATGGCGTTTACAGGGATTTTAGGGCTTGTAGGGTTTGGGCAAAGGGCTGTCGCCCAGTCCAAGGAAACGCTCACACGCATTTGCGTGCTCTCTAAACCCTAAACCCTAAACCCTAAACCCTAAACCCTAAACCCTAAACCCTAAACCCGAAGAGGGGAGGGGGAAACTGGAACAAAGCAGACAGCGTAAGGAAGAGGGATCGTCGATCACAACATCTTCCGAAGCAGTAACGTGTCTTGTTCCCGGCAGTGCGTCCCTCTGAGTCAGCTAGGCGGGTGGCAAAAAAAAAAACGAATCCCTGAACCTCGACGAGCCCCGCGTGTTCAGTTGTTGGCTCATGCCCGTTGTTCTTGGTATGCAGTTCTTTCGCCGCCGTGGAAAGGTTTTTCGAGTTTGGCCCTTCTCGATGGGTGGAGCTGTTTTGCCAGGTCTTCGGCAACCAGTCAGAGAAAGAAGCGGCGGAAGAAAGCGTGAATGAAAAAGCGGCGTTGTAGCTTCACTGGCTGACAGGCTGAATGAAGCGTTGAACCATGCATTGCACTACGGCCGACTTAGATGCGTTTCATGCCAAGCCATGCCATAACAAGGCCGCATGCCAGAAAGGCTGAGACTTCTTAACGCATCCGGTACCCCTTAATACAAACCCAATGTACTAGCATTCGATTCTTCTTAGGAACCCCCTACCCGAAAACGATACAACCCTATTTTTGGAGAGCTCTAAACCCTCAACCGCATCTGACACCAATCAAGCCACATGTCATGGAGCCATTCCATCAGACCAAAGGTTGGACTTCCCATGATCTCAGTCTTTCGTGAAAATGGGTTTAGGGTTTACAAAAAAAGGACGAGGCCTGTTGCAAAAAAAAGGGTTCAGGGCTTGGTGTTTGGGAAATATAGGGTGTAGGGTTTTGATGATTCCACGAGCCCATGATGCGCCGTGGCTGGCCGCTGGCTTTGGGAGTGATCCACTGCCAGAGTCGGTCGTCGGAGCGCAGACCTCGTGTAGCGGTGGTGGGCGCTGGGCTCACTGGATGTCTTACCGCGGCGATGCTCAGGCGGGATGGGGGACCTTGGATGCTTAGCGTCTATGCGACGTCTGTGCATTCACTCCTAAACCCTAAACCCTAAACCCTAAACCCTAAACCCTAAACTCATTTTCACCCTGTAAACCCGGGAATGGCAGCTCAACTTGTTCCGGAGCTCGAGTCGTTGTACCGGTGCATGCGCCGTGCCGAGATTTGAGGTTTGATTGCTGCTTTGCTTACTGGGGGGTTACGTGTTAACATGTGTGAACCGATTTTTTTACTAACATTTTTCGTAGTATCCGAAAGGTCTGTCTTAGACAGACTTGGTTATTGAGCTACTGAGCAGCGATGCTGAGACACTGTTGCCCCGGATGGCACAGCTCAACTTGCCTAAACTCGAGTCGTTTGTACAGGGGCATGTGTCGTGCCAAGAAACGAAAGTTTGATTGCCAGGCACACAGTGCCCCAGCGTCCAAGCATCCAAGCATGCGCGGCATCCCAGATTCCCCATGTCCGGGTCTAGAACCACAGCGTCCCAGCCGTGCCCCGCATCCCCGGTAGTGGTCGTGGCAGTGACGGCGGTGTTGGTGGGTGGAGTGGTGGGTGGTGTGGTGGGTGGTGTGGTGGGTGGTGCGGTGGGTGGTGCGGTGGGTGGTGCGGTGGGTGGTGTGGTGGGTGGTGTGGTCGGTGGTGTGGTGGGTGGTGCGGTGGGTAGTGCGGTGGGTGGTGCGGTGGGTGGTGCGGTGGGTGGTGCGGTGGGTGGTGCGGTAGCTGGTGCGGTAGCTGGTGTGGTGGGTGGTGCGGTAGGTGGTGCCGTGGGTGGTGTGCTGGGTGGTGGTGGCTGGTGGTGGTGAGGGAATTGTGGGACTTGTGATCGTGGTTGTATGTATGTAAGGAACCATGTATATTTCTCTGATCCTTACAGAGTGCACTTGCATATATTCCATGGTACTGTTGGCATTGCATTGGGAGGAAGAGAGTTTGGGGCTGGGTGGAGTGCGGTGGGCGCACGGAGGTGTGGAGATCGAGTGGAGGGGGCTGTAGCGCAGCGCTCCAGCCCTCCAGCTAGCGTCCCAGCCCCACAAGTTCAGCGTGCCAACGACTCCAGCGCCACAGCACCCCAGCACAGAGTGGCGTCTGGTTCACATCCCAGCGAGCGTCCCAGCATCCCAGCGTCCCAGCGACATCCACAGTTGTGCAATCAATACTGTTGAGTCAGATAAGCAGGTCCCAAAGATCCTTTTTTGATAAGCGGCGGGAATATCAGCGTCTATTAGTTTTTTTGGCGTGGTTTTAATTAAGTTATGAGTGTAGTACACGGGACTTTGTCGCAGAGCCTGCAACTGTCCAACAGAGGGGGAGCTACATGTAGGGGCTTGAAGGGTACCACCACCCACCACTTGCTCAGAGAGATGGCAAAACATGGCAACATCTTTCAAAACATCCGCCGAATGACGCCAGGCAAGTTTGGATTGCATGGATCCGTCATAGTCTCAGGCTTTGGTCTTCTTAAACAAATCAACACCCAAGCACCCATCCGCCCTAATCCTAGGTGGGATAAGGGGGACCCTTAAACGGGAACCCTTCTTAACCCTCTTCTGGCTCTCTTAAACAGGGACCTTAGTCAGAGGGTCTATATCACCAAGGGTCCCCCTAATCCTACCCCCTACCTAAGGCCCTAAACCCTCGGAAAGGCGCTCGCTTCCAGAGCTGGAGATCCATGTTTGGGAGCGGGCGACATATCCTTCCGGCAGGGCCCTCAGGGGGACTAGGGTTTAAGGGTTTAGGGTTGTTTCACTGTTTTCAACAAAGCGGATGACCTTGGACACTGGACCATGAGTTGTTGATGATTGTTGATCTTTGAAGGTTCTTTTTTCACGATGGGACCCAAAGGGGTGTCAAACTTGGGATATTTCCCCTTTCGCTGCCCTCAAATTTGATGCCCAACGATTGGAAAGAGAGAGCCCGGATTTTGGTCCGTGTTTGCTGATGGCGTAGGCCAACGTGGCTTCAATGACTCATGGGTAGTTCATGGACATTTCAGCCGGCTCGAGTCCCTCCATGTATGTTCATCACGACAGAGCGCACGGCAACCAACGCACATGGTTCGCCAAGCATGTCTCAAAGCCGCCCCATCTCCCGAATCAACATCTAAGATGACGCACAAATCGCTATAGGTTGTAAAAAGATCTCTGCCGCGAGTCAACTTAGTTGTCCAGCATCATGAGCTTCCTGGGCTCCTTGAAGTCTGCCAAGACAGGGGACATCTCGAAAGGCCTCCAGGAACTGTCGGCAGATGATCGGAAGAAGGTCTTCGCAGCGCTGAGCTGCTCCGCTGGAGACGGAGACTGGGGGCGATTATGCGATGCAGGTGGACTTCTAATTCAGGGTTTAGGGTTTAGGGTTAGCAGGCAGTGGTGAGGAGTCCTGCTGCAAAAAGGGTTTAGGGTTAATTATCTCACAGTGGTGGTCTAGGCTGTAGTGCTTGGTCATTCCACGATCCCATGATGCGCCGCGGCTGGCCGCTGCGTTTGGGAGTGATCCACTGCCGGAGTGGGCCGTCCTAGCGCAGACCTCGTGGAGCGGTGTTGGGCGCCTGGCTCACAGGACGTCCGCAGCGATGCTCAGGTGGGGCCCACTCTAAAGCGGCAATACCCCTACAGTCGAATCGGGGTGCTATTCCTCGAAAAGCGACTTGTGCAACGTCCGACGCACACACACACAACAGTGTTGTCAGCTGCTCAATGTGAAGGCCGCCCCAAAGCCCAAACCCGTCGGAAAGGCGCTCTCTCTGCCAGAGCTGAAGATCCACGTTTGGGAGCGGGCGACATATCCTCCCGGCAGGGCCCTCAGGTGGGTGGTGTTTGGGACTCGGGTTGAAGGGCTGAGGGTTGTTTCACTGTTGCAACAAAGCTGCAAGCGGATGACCTTGGACACTGGACCATGACTTGTTGATGAATTGTTGATGTTTGAAGGGGTTTTTTTCACGTTGGGACCCAAAGGGGTGTCAAACTTGGGATATGTCCCCTTTCGCTGCCCACAAATTTGATGCCCAACGATTGGAAAGAGAGAGCCCCGATTTGGGTCCGTGCTTGCTGATGGCGTGGGTGTTGAGGCCAACGTGGCTTCAATGACTCACGGGTAGTTCATGGACATTTCAGCCGGCTCGAGTCCCTCCATGTATGTTCATCACGACAGAGCGCACGGCAACCAACGCACATGATTCGCCAGCACTTCTCAAAGCCGCCCCATCTCCCGAATCAACATCTAAGATGACTCACAAATCGCTATAGTTTGTAAAAAGATCTCTGCTGCGAGTCAACTTAGTTGTCCAGCATCATGAGCTTCCTGGACTCCTTGAAGTCTGCCAAGACAGAGGACATCTCGAAAGGCCTGCAGGAACTGTCGGCAGATGATCGGCAGAAGGTCTTGGAGGCCTCGAAGCTCCTAAACCCTAAACCCTAAACCCTAAACCCTAAACCCTAAACCCTAAAGGCGCTGAAGCAGCTAGAAGCCGAAGCCTTCAAATCCATCGCGGGCTCCTTCAGCTGCTCCGGTGGAGATGGCGACCCTTGGGGACGAGATGAACCCTAAACTTGGGGTTTAGGGTTTAGGGTTTAGGGTTTAGGGTTTAGGGTTTAGGGTTTAGGGTTTAGGGTTTAGGGTTTAGGGTTTAGGGTTTAGGACTTATTACCCCTACCATAAACCCTTTTAGGCTTCATTTCGTCCCCAAGGACTGGGGCGACTACTCCATGCAGGTCAGCGTGGGCGCGGATGGTGGCGGAAGAATCAAGGAGGTTCGTTGCACTTTCCGTGACAGCCCCGAGGAGACGGAGATCTGGTATGGCACCTTCAGCTACAATGGCGACCTTCTCACCTTCAACGGCACTGAAGTCGAGACGGAATCCAGTGGCTTGGTAGCCCAGTGGTACCCTTTACCCCTTTTTTTTGGTTCTAGGTTTCTCTGATACAGTAGCCAACCAAAGAAGGGTGCCCTTTTGATTTTGATGGGTACTTGGCTACCAAGGCGGAGCTGGAGGCGTGCACAAGGAGCCGAAGCAGCCGGGCAAGAAGGCCTTCTACTTCAAGACGGGCGAGGGGAAGACCTTAGTCCAATGCAGTGCCGAGGGTGAAGAACACGAGATGCCTTTCAGGGATGGCAAGAAGATCCTCAAGTGAAAAGCTTCAAGAGACTTAGTAGGTGAGTGAGTACACTTTACACTTTTTGGGATGCCATAATCCTTGTAGAATTGAAAGTGTACACTTTTGGGGGGCTTATGAACTCAGCAACGAGGGACAGCATGGGATGGCACGGATCATGACGTTGCACTGCCAGTGAAGGCATGCACGGCCGTGAGGCAAGGCCCGGCAAGGGTGAAATTCACATTTTTTGCAGCTGCTGCTGCACGAACCTGCTTTGAAAGACCTGACTTTCCTTGTGAAAAAAATGCCAAAACAAAATAGGGCATAATTAGGGGTTTAGGGCTTAGGAATTAAAACCACAGTAGACTACAGTATAATACTGCCCCCGCACAACTCATGGTCGCAACTGGCTGCCGGATGAGCTGTGCACGCGCTTGACAGGCGTTTTTGGATTTAGGGTTTATAGGGTTAAACCCTCAACCCTAAACCCTTTCGGGGTTAGGAACAACCGACTATAGGGTTTAGTGGAGCCTCCCAGGAATCTCAGAAAAGCAAGTGGGACATGCCCGATTTAGGGTTTAGGGTTTAGGGTTTAGGGTTTAGGGTTTAGGGTTTAGGGTTAGGGTTTAGGGTTTAGGGTTTAGGGTTTAGGGTTTAGGGTTTAGGGGTTGAGGGTTTAGGGTTTAGGGTTTAGGGTTGGGGGTTTAGGGTTTAGGGTTGGGGGTTTAGGGTTTAGGGTTTAGGGTTTAGGGTTTAGGGTTTAGAGTTAGGCCAGTTGGCGGGTCTGCTGGCCTCTGACGACTGAGCGCGGCCCTGAAGTCTGGCATGAAGCAGCTGCCAGGTTCGAAAAGGGTTAGGCCCCTAAGCTCCAAAACCTTAAGCCCTTAGGTCCCGAAAGCCCCCAAACCTGCGTAAATTACACCCCCAAATCCCCTAATCCCCCCAACTCCCAACGCCCTGACCCCTAAAGCCCTATGACCCCGGACCCCGAGAGCCCGAAACCAGAAAGCACAGAGCCCCCAAAACTCCGAGGAATGAAGCCCGAAGAAGAGCCTAGGTCCAGGGTTTAGGGTTTAGGGTTTAGGGTGGCACAGTTTAGGGTTCAGGGTGTAGGGTTTAGGGCCTCAGTCCGGCTGCAAGAAGGGTTTAGGATGTAGGGTTTAGGGTCGAACCCGGCTGGCTGCAAGAGACCTGCATGCAAAAAGGGTTCGTCCCAGGCAGGCCGTGCAGCAGTCTCAGCCACAAAAAGGGTTGAGGGTTTAAGGCCCAGAAGCCTCCCTAAACCCTACACCCTGAACCCCCTCACACCCAGCGCTGACGTTGGCTTCTGAGGTGCATCTTCGGCTGCGCCAGGGTGCCTTGGACAGGCCTCTCTACTGGGTTTTTGGGGGATGTCTTAGGGTTTCGTTTAGGACTTTTAGGTTTTTTTTGTCGTTCTTAGGGTTAGGGTGTTTTGGGGGGCCTTGTTATGGCTTTTAGGGTGTCTGCTTAGGATGTTTGTACTCTCCCAAAATCCTACACCTCCTCCTTTCAGCTGGTTCGGAGGCTCCCTCGTTAACCCCAAACTCAGAACCCTACGTTTTGAAGCTCAACACAAAAGCACCGAGCCTTGCAACATCCACAAGCACCCTAAGCCCCTAAACCCTAAACCCCTGAACCCTAAACCCTAAACCCTTTTCCTTAAACCCCTTAACCCTAAACTCCTGAAGCCCTGAACCCTAAACCAGGCAAGATTGAGAGACTCCATCTCCGAGCACCACACGCGGCGCCGAGACCTCCAGGCGCCCGAAGCTGTCGAGTGCGGCAAGTAGCGTTATACGCAGCCAAACCGATGTGGTCTCTGATCAGTGGTTTGTTGGTCTGGCTTACCTGGGACTTTTTTTACCTGAAGCTTAGTAGTCTAACTACCCTTCAGAAGCAGGTATGACCCAGAAAACTGAAGGTGAAGAGGGTCCCACGTAGCCAGAAGTGAAGAAGCACCTGTATTTTCCCCAACATGCTACTCCAGACAGAAACCCCAGCGCAAACTAAACCCCAAACTATTTGGGCTCAAGCAGGAAAAGCAGCTGAAGCGTTGACTCAAAGCATACCAGGACAGACAAAATTGTATGAGCACTTTTTCCACCAAAACCCTAAAACCCACAAAGTGTCAGGCTCCACAGCGGTGCCCTGCTGAGCCTAGTGATCTCACAGCAAGGTTGAATTCCCAGAACTTCCTTTGCGCCAATTTGTCTTGTGATCACTGCCTGAAACTCTATTTACCTGCAGTTTAGTGGTAACCACCCCAGATTAGTAGGTATAGCCCATAAAACCGTAGGTAAAGAGGGTCCCAGGTGTTCTGTGGGCTCTTGCAGCCATGGTACAGATGGACGAGAACCGCGAGCGGGCTTACGGGCAAATGCTCGAGGTGGTGCGCGCCGTCCTGGCAGGACAGATGCAGGCATCGATACTTTGTCATGGTTGGGTAGCATTTTTACATGTTTAAGGGTACTTAAACCAAATAAGGAATAGAAGTTTGAATTTTAAATACTATCCCAACCATGAACTAGGAATGCAGCGGAGCTGCTGACGCCGATCGCGTCGAAGGAGTCGCTGCAGCAAGTCCTTGTGGATGTCCTGTGGCTTGCCGGCTTTGCCACGACAGAGGCGCCCTCCGGCAGGGAAGCGCGAGACTTAGTAGCCCAGTGGTACCCTTTTCCATTTTTTTTGGTTCAAGGTTCCCTTGTAAAGGAACCAACCGAAGAAAGGGTGCCCTTACAAAAAGATGGTTACCGAAACCCGAAACCCGAAACCCTAAACCCTAAACCCTAAACCCTAAACCCTAAACCCTAAACCCAAACGGGCTACCAAGGAGAGGAGTTTAGCAACTTCTGCTCCATTCTGGAGAGGGAGGGCGTCATCTCCAAGCCGATCCTGGCCTCGGGGCTTGAAACCGAGACAGTGCCTGAGGCAAACTTGGGAATATTGTTTACTCTGTGGGGTACTACAATCCCTAAGAAACTGCAAAAAGATGTGTTTTTTTGCTAGGGCAAGTTCAGTGTGTTTTTTGCCAGGGTTCCAAGTTCAGTATAGGTGCCCCCATCTGTGTGCAACATCGCGGGCCTGCGGAAGAAGCAGAACCAGGCGGGGTCCTCCTCCCTAAGCCCTAAGCCCTCAACCCTCAACCCTAAACCCTAAACCCTAAACCCTAAACCCTAAACCCTAAACCCTAAATTTAAGAGCCTCCGGCTCAAGCCGCCGACCCCGCTGGAGCATAGTTGAGACCCGCTCGCATGGAAGATCATCCCCGGCTGTGAATCGTTTGGGGGGGGGTAGGGGGTAGCACCAGGACAAGCTCAAGCCAAAAAGACAGGCAAAGGGTGGGTGGGGGTGGGGGGGGTGGGGGTGGGGGGGTAGGGGGGTGGGGGGTGGGGGTGGGGGGTAGGGGTGGGGGTGGGGTTGGGGGGGGGGGGGGTTTGGGGGGGGTTGGGGGGGGGGTTGGGGGGGGGGGGGGGGGGTTGGGGGGGGGGGGGGGGGTGGGGGTGGGGGGGGGGGGGGGGGGTGTGGGGGGGGGGGGGGGGGCAGGTGGGGGGGGGGCTAGTGGGGGTGGAGGCGGTAAAAACGCTGATTTTGCTGAGGGAGCACCACCCCCCCCGTGCTGAACCCCCTGTTTACGCTGTGCGGGTGGCGCGGTCCTCCACGAAAAAATTGTGCACCCGCCCCCCCCCCCCCCCCCCCCCCCCCCCCCCCCCGCGTTTTGGGGGGGGCAAGGAGGGAAAGAGGGAGGTTTCACCTCCTTTTCCCATCCAACACGCCGCCAGGGTCGGCGGACCCTAAACCCTAAACCCTAAACCCTAAACCCTGACCCTAAACCCCTGGAGGCCAAGACCAAAGCTCGGTACACGGTGGCGAGGTTCAACCTGCTGCGCGAGCACAATGAGGGCTACGCCAGGCTTCCTGTTGAGGGAGTTTATAGGTACCTCATTACCCTAGGCCCTAAACCCTAAACCCTGAACCCTGAACCCTGAACCCTAAGCCCTAAGCCCTAAGCCCTAAGCCCTAAGCCCTAAGCCCTAAGCCCTAAACCCTAAACCCTAAACCCTAAACCCTAAACCCTAAACCCTAAACCCCAGCCAGGTTGATGATGCACATCGATCGGCTCCTGCACTTGGAGCTGGACGTGCAAGGCACTCCCGAGCAACTCACCAAGACCCGCGAGAGCGTGACTTACTGCTGGTTAGCACGGAATGAGGGAATTCGGGTTTAGGGTTTAGGGTTTAGGGTTTAGGGTTTAGGGATATATATAAATATACCCTTTAAGGGATTTTTTAGGGTACCTTATTCCCCCATTCCTAACCAACAGTTAGGTGATCGATGACGTCATGCTGCTCATGGGCTACAGCTACCTCTGCCCAAACAGGACTTGGTAGTTTGAGTACGTAGATAACCTCTCACGTTTTTGAGAGGGGGCTTTTGAAAATTCTGTAATATCACTAGAGGTTCCCCTAGGATACTGGACAGCTAAGAGGATCATCGCCATGGCGATTGACATCTACGAGCGGATCATCATCGAGGACCCCTTAAACCCTAAACCCCAAACCCCAAACCCCAAACCCTAAACCCCAAACCCCAAACCCCAACCCCAAACCCTAAACCCCAAACCCCAAACCCTAAACCCTAAACCCCAAACCCCAAACCCTAAACCCAGAGGAGGAGGAGCCAAGTGGGAAGCCTCACGCCATCCTTTCCCTTCTCCGCCGCTTCAGCCGGGACCGAATCTCCAGGGTCGCTTCGTTCCTCGGGTCGGCTCTCTTAGTAAGGAATGGGGCAAATATAGGGGGCCCTAGATATACCCTTTAAGGGATTCTGTAGGCCCTATATGTATACCTTTTAAGGGAATTCTATAGGCCCTGTATCTTTAAGGGATTATTATAGGCCCTTGTTGGGACATTTTTTGCCTTTTCCCTTATTTGGGGTTTTTGAGGATCATCCTCACCCTAACCTACCCAAGCCCTAAAACCCTAAACCCTCATATTCATTCAGGAATATAAGCCCTGAACCCTAAGCCGTGAAGCCTGCAATATCTTTGGCTAGTCGGGTGGCAAAAAAACCGGCAATATTCAGGAGCCCTAAACCCTAAACCCTAAACCCTATTATTTTTCAGAGGGTCTTAAGTGGGCCATCCGAGGTTCCTGCTTCACCCGGGGCAGCCTCCAGCAGTGGTGGGCACCTTGAGGACCAAATGAACCTTAGAGGGGTTTATGGTTCCCTAAACCCTAAACCCTAAATAGTAGGAATTCTAGTCGTGCAGGGTAGATGACCCCCAATTTAGGGCCCATGTCGTCCCAAGGCAAAGATGCCAAGCCGCCCGAGCCGAACGTCCGGGCGTCACAGTTCGTGGCGACGGCTTCGTGGCCGTTTAGGGTTTAGGGTTTAGGGTTTAGGGTTTAGGGTTTAGGGTTTGGGGTTTAGGGTTTAGGGTTTAGGGTTTAGCCTAAAAGTCCCAGGGGTTCAGAGGGCAGCCAAGGCTTCTCTGATCTCTCTTGGCCTGGTGGATCTGAGAATGGTCTGGTCCTACTTGGAGCCAGGTGAGAAGAAGATCCTTAGTAGCCTACTGGTACCCTTTTCCCTTTTTTTGGGGGTTCAAGGTTCCCTTTATAAAGCAACCAACCCCCAAAAGGGTGCCCTTATTATTATTTTTATGATATTATTATTAAAAGATGGCTACTGGGCTACCAAGGATCCATGAGGCGTGGTCTCATCTGAACTTCAGGTATGAGGCCAAGCTGAAAACAGTGAGCATCGTTGACCTCAGCGGCAAGCAAAATCTGGCGCGGGATCGGCGCTACTTCAACGGCTGCGCGAAGAACCTAGGCAGGCCCTTGCAGGACATTTTTTTTTTACATTTTTCCCTTGTTGGGTTCAAGAGGGGCCATATTCAGGAATGTTTTTCAGAGGGCTTCTAAAGGGGCCATCCTAGGAACTTCAACCACATGCTCAACCAGAAGATCCGACTCGTGGAGGCAATGATCAGCATCAATGACTGGCGCAACGCCTGCGTGTTGCTGACACAGCTCCGCAGGATCTGTCGTCCTTGCATGAACCACTACATTCGGCAAGCTCTCTGCGATCTGCTGAAGTGGATCATTGAACCACTGCTCCCGAAGTTGCAGCAAGGTGTACCCAGCCACAAGAAGGACCTACGAAGGTTTGCTTGGGGTCTTACCATGCTACCCGCAGGTGAAGGACCTGTTCAAGGACACCTCAAGCAGGCGGCAGATCTGCAGGACTTTGCCCCGGCCTGCAAGCAGGTCTTGGATCACCTGGAATACTACATGCACACAGACAACGTCTTGTTGACTCGCATGTGGCAGGTCCTTGGCTTGTCACTGAAAGAGGCCCCCGAAGGCAGCAACACTGCGATGGCTGCGGCATCTGCGAACAGCGCAGCTCCCTCCAACCGCATCCTTGATGACAGGCTTGTAGCCATCATCTACAAGCACCTTGGGGATACTTGGGAAATGTATATGTTTTAGTTTTTGGGCGCTTTGATTCCCAAGAGAAACCGCTAAAGTTATGGTTCCAAGTTCAGTATAGGCACCTGCTGCCGGCAATCTCCATAGCCAAGCCGAACCCCTTCGTGAGCAGCGTGGCGTGGAATGTGCTAAAGCAGCTCACAATTTTCCAGCGCTACATGATCTACAGCTGCTGGGAAACAAAGTACAGTCAGTTCATGCTGAAGTACAGTTACGAAGAGGCGAAGTTTGAAGCCAAGAAGATCCTCAAGCGGGTGGTCTCAAGCGACAAGACCACCGACCGGGATCGAGAAGATCCCAATGCCTACAGGCCTCATCCCGTGTTTTGCCAGCTTTGCCAGACAAACCCCATCCCCATCGTGGAGGTGATGCTCAAGGACATTGAGATTGGATTCAACGTCAACATGATACAGCCCTACGTGGACCTCACCTATCGCTGTTCTGAGATGATGACGGACATCGTCGGTTACGTCCTCGCGCGGAATTGCGAACGACCGGCCACGGAGACGAAGGTTTCTGGGTTGATTTTTGGAACATTTTTTCTTTTCCTGATTTGGGTTTATCAGGGACCCTATATGTAAATATTTGTCAGAGGTTTAAAGGCCAACCCAGGTGTTCTTCTCCCCGGCGGACGGCCTCATCTCACCCTGGCTTAGCAACTTTGCGGACTTCATCGGTCGCTTCTACAAGAAGCACCCGCAGACAAACCTGGTTGCCATGCTTCTGGTACTTGCGAAGCGAATGACGCATGACGTGCCGGAGTCCACAGACAGACATTCTGCGAAGAAGTTCAAGGGTGAGTCGCTCATTCGGGTGGTTCTAGAAAAGCTCATGGAGCACATGGGCGGCCTCATTGTGGTGAAGGATTTCACGATGGAGCAGCTCACCTGCTTGGCTGGGGGGCCGCGGCTACGTCTGGAGTCCGTGTCCATTGGCTCGCGCCCAGATCCTCAGCGCAAGGAAAAGACAAAGAAGGCACTCCTTGACACGATGGTGGAACTGGGTCTGGCTCCAGCACTGTGGGATTGTCTCAGCAGGCAGCGGCTGTACTTCATGTCGGAAGGTTTTTCAGAGCTCCACAGCGACGAAGGGGCCCTGAAGATACTTTGCAAGCTGCTCGACGGGAACATGGAATGCTTCCTCAGCCTCGTGGACTTCCTGTCCCAGGCATCTCCGCGAGACAAGTACCTCAAACTCATGCCAACACTGCAGCAGCTCTTCGGCGTCCTGGAGCCCAACGTCGCCTACGCGGCGCTGCGGCCGGGGTTGACCCCCTTTGCCCGCGGGAAGGCGCCCATTCCCAAGACGGAGGGAAAGGCCACGATGGTGGCCACGCCCGAAGAGACGGAATTGCAGAAGCAGCTGATGGGCATCGCGTTCAAGTGCCTGCCAAAGGCAATTGAAGAGGACGGCCTCTCCATGGACTTCTATGTGACTTTCTGGCGGCTGTCTTTGCAGGACATCTTCGTGCCCACTGAGGGCTACGAGAAAGTCCTGGCTAGGATGACGCAAGGTCAAAAGACTTTGGAGGATGCAAAAGTCAAACTCGATCGGAAGTATAACATCGACACCCACAGCCGCGAGTACAAGAACGTGCAGCGTAACCTCACGCGGCAGAAAGAAGCCTACGACAAGGTTCCTAGCTAGCTAGCTAGGAGAAGGGGGTGACCCTTAAAAGGCAACCCTTCTTAACCCTCTTCTGGCTCTCTCAAACACGGGCCTTATTCAGAGGGTCTATATCCCCAAGGGTTCCCCTAAATCCTATCTCTCCTAAAGGTCAAGGAGGAGCAGCTGATGCAAAAGTTGAACTTCGAGAAGGTCTTGGCACGGTTGGAGCAGGAGAAGTCCGCGTGGTTTCTGAAGCACTGCCCAGAAGCCACCCAGACCATGGTAGCCGAGATGATCCTTCCCCGAGCTCTGACTCTGTGTCATAGTTGGGTAACATTTTACATTTTTAAGGGTACTTAAACCCAATAAGGAATATAAATTTAAATTTTTAATACTATCCCAACCATGAACTAGGACTTCCTACGCAGACGCTCTCTTCTGCTGCAAGTTCGCACGGCTTCTGATTCGGATGAAGACGCCGGGGTTTCTGGTGCTGGACTTTTACAACAGCTGGACCGTCATGCTCACCATGAACCTGCGAAGCTGCACCGAAGTGGAGGCGCAAATTTGGGGTTTAGGGTTTAGGGTTATAGGGTTTAGGGTTTAGGGTTTAGGGTTTAGGGTTTAGGGTTTAGGGTTTAGGGTTTAGGGTTTAGGGTTTAGGGTTTAGGGTTTAGGGTTTAGGGCACCGCAGTGGAGGCCCAAATTTGTGGCCACTTCCTCAACGAGATGATGTCCTACATCTGCAGCTTGCGGAATCTTGGTAGCACAGCGGTATACCGCTTGCTCTTTTTTGGGATATTGGTTTCCCTTATAAAATAGCCCCCCCCCCCCAAAAAAAAAAAAAAAAAAAAAGCCCTTATCATAAGATGGTTACTGGGCTAAACCCTGAACCCTAAACCCTGAACCCTGAACCCTAAACCCTAAACCCTAACCCTAAACCCTAAACCCTAAACCCTAACCCTGAACCCTAAACCGCCTTACTGGGCTACCAAGGAAGAGCGAGAAGACCTTCGAGGCCGAGATGAAGGAGAACCCGTGCTTCCATCGCCACCACTACGAAAACACCACCGACAGCCCCGAGTTTGCCAAGCACACCGACATTGTGCGAGGGCACAACAAGTGGCTTAGGGACACTTGGGAAGAGTTTTTAAATATGATTCCTAAGAAACAGCAAACAGCAAGCAAGAATTGCAGTTTTTGAGCACCATAATTGTTTCAAAAGAAGCAGCAAGAATTGCGATTTTTGCTAGGGTTCCCAGTTCAGTGAAGGTGACCCTAAACCCTAAACCTCTAAACCCTAAACCCTAAACCCCTAAACCCCTAAACCCTAAATCCCTAAACCCCTAAATCCCTAAACCCCTAAACCCCTAAACCCCTAAACCCCTAAACCCCTAAACCCCTAAACCCCTAAACCCCTAAACCCCTAAACCCCTAAACCCCTAAACCCGAAACCCTAAACCCCTAAACCCTAAACCTTAAGGTGGGAGGGCAAGATCCTGAAAGCCTTGCGGCAGAACCTCGAGTCGGACGAGTGGACGGACAAGCGCAACGCCCTTCTCCTCCTCAGCAAGTCTTGCGAGACTTGGTAGGGTTTAGGGTTTAGGGTTTAGGTTAGGGTTTAGGGTTTAGGGTTTAGGGTTTAGGGTTTTTGGGGGTGGTGTTCTAGCACAAAGGAAGTGGTTTTTCCGAGCCCTACATTAGCCCAGTGGTACCCTTTAATTTGTTTTTCTGGTTCAAGGTTCCCTCATAAAGTACTCAACCCAAAAAGGGTGCCCTCGTTGTTAGATGGTTACCGGGCTACTCAGGAGACCTATCCGATCGTGGAGAAGTACGCCAGAACGGTGCTGCAGTGTGTCGAGAACGTTCGGGAAAAGGAGAAAGCCAGCGATCTGAAGACGTTGGCAGCCTCGCTTGCCACCAAGCTCAAAGCTCAGAGCAAGAACTGGATCAAAACCGACACTCGGATTTCCAGTAGTATGCTAATGTTTTTAAGATTGTGTTCTGGGTCCCTTGTAGAAACCTAACCAAAACCAAAAAAAGGTGTCCCGCCACCCTTTTTTGCCTCCCCCCCCCCCCCCCCCCCGGGCCCTTTTTCTCCTAAGTTACTGGGGGCCCTCCTAAACCCTCAACCCCAGACCCTAAACCCCAAACCACCCTAAACCCCAAACCCTAAACCCTAAACCCTACAAACCCTAGGAGAGCAAGGAGGCCCCCAAGGGCGCTGCGAAAGCCAAAGAGGCGCCCAAGGCCAAGGCCGCCAAAGAAGCGCCGAAAGAGACGGCCGCCAAGGAGCTGAAGAAGGGATTAGGGTTTGGGGTTTAGGATTTAGGGTTTAGGGTTTAGGGTTTAGGGTTTAGGGTGAGTTGGCTTCTGAGAAGTTGCATGTGTGCCGGCAGCCTCAAAGTCCGCTGCTCAAAAGGTGTTTAGGGTTTGGGGTTTAGGGTTTAGGGTTTAGTGTGCCAAGAAGGATGGAGAAGCCAAGAAGGAGGTGGCAAAGAAAGAGACACCCAAAGCCAAGGAGGCGACAAAGGAAAGCGCGCCGTCTGCCCCGAAAGCAAAAAAGGAGTCTAGGGATGCAAAAGAAGCAGCCCTAAACCTAAACCCTAAACCCTAAACCCTAAACCCTAAGCCCTAAGCCCTAAGCCCTAAGCCCTAAGCCCTAAGCCCTAAGCCGAAAGCAAAGAAGGAGTCCAGGGATGCAAAAGAAGCAAAGCCCAAGGAGGAGCGCGATCACAAGCGACGGCCAGGTGCTGCGCGATCTTCGGGTGGAGGTTCATGGTATTAGGGTTTAGGGTTTAGGGTTTAGGGGTACTTATTTGAGACCAACTATAACTGAACTTGCAACCCACTTGTAAGCCCCCTAAGTGCCCGAAGATGTTTTTGTGCAGTTGTATGAGTACAGTTCTAACTGGTTCATAAGTACCATGAACCTCCAAGCGAAGCGGAGGTGCAGTCGTGGAGGAGCGTCCCTAAACCCTAAACTCTAAACCCTAAACCCTAAACCCAATACCCAAACCCCAAAGTGAAGTGGAGGTGCAGTCGTGGAGGAGCGCCCAGAAAAGCGCGCGCGCCGGGAGGAAGATGCTGCGAAGCGGAGGGATGACGACGTGGTCGTGATCTCCTCGCCAGCACACCGGCCCATCAGCCGGAACCTTGGCCCTAAACCCTAAACCCTAAACCCTAAACCTTGGCTTCCTTCTGGCTGGCTCTTAGGACTTTAACCTTTTTGGGTTTTTTGCAGCGGCTACATTATATGGAGTCTGGAAGTTAAACTTCTAAACCCTAAACCCTAAACCTTTTAGGAGGGGTTCAGAAGTCAGCCAAGGAACTCAAGCAGCAGTGCGCGGAACTCCTTGTCCGTGCAAGCTGCCGGGGGCGATCGCGAAGGGCGCAGCAACAGAAGCTTAGTAGTTGAGTAGGTAACCTTAGGGTTTAGGGTTTAGGAACCTTTTTTGGTAGGGCTTTTAAGCAAATTCTGTATAGTACCAACTAAGGAAGCGTGGTGAGCAGCGGATATGAATCTCACTCCCGACGTCCTGGGGCACAGCATGGCCCGGCCAGGCACGAACGGAGGAGGTGACTGCCTCATGCCTCCTACCTGCAGGGGAAAACAGGGCTCACCAATGCCAACCGCGCGCAGTGATGGGTGCATATTGTTAGGAACTGGTTTGGAGCGATCTGTCTATGTGGGCATTTCCCAAAAAATAGGCGCACCCGTTTTATTCCCCAAATAGAAGAGACTCCCTCTTGAAGGACCCCCAAAAGGGTGCCCCTATTTTTTCGGAAGCCCCCTATGTCGTGCTGGTGAAACCCTAAACCCTGAGCCCTCAACCGCTCGCTCCGATGGAAGTTCCTAGCACCCGGTCCCCAGGCTGTCGACGGTAATCGGTGTATACTGTTGAAGATCATCCTGCTTGAGGCTTCTCACCTAGACCGTTAGGGTTTAGGGTTTTGTGGTTTTAGACCCTAAACCCTAAACCCTAAACTGAAACTGACTCGTGTGGCATGAGAGGGGTGTCGGAGCTGCATGGGGCGCGAGGTATGGGGTGTTATTGTGGTGTGGGGTTCGGGGCATGCGGCCATGCGGAATTATGCTTTTCGCCTATAGAGTCAGCCCCAGAGTCTCGCCCGCTTGTGCAAGCGTGAGATTCGAAACCCTAAACCCTAAACCCTAAACCCTAAACCCTAAACCCTAAACCCTAAACCCTAAACCCTAGTTCGAAACTACGCTCTCAACTATACACTCGCACAAAAGCTGGCGTAGACGGCGTAGAGGCGGGTCGGACCATGCACTCCGTTTAGGGTCTTGGGTTAACCCCAAAGCCTGCGTACGTCCTAGCTTCGTTAAAGCAAGCTTCATAGTCTCAACCCACAAACCTCTCAAAGCAAGAACCGAAACGTAAACCCTAAACCTCCAACATCACCCATGCGAAGCGCGATCCTGTACAGGCCTGGACGCGGTGGGAGGACCTGGGTGGGCCGGTGGGGCCGGGGCGGGTCAGGGGGCTCAGGTGTTAACCTTGGGATACTTGAGAATGTTTTGAATTGTTTGGGCACTATAATCCCTAAGAAACAGCTAAAGTGATGTTTTTTGCTCGCGTTCCAAGGTCAGTATGGTTAAGGGTTGAAGGCTTCAAGCTTCTTTTTTTGTAAAGCCGGGGTCTGTGGCTCGCTTCCTGGTGGTTGAGACAGGTGTGGGAGTGGGGCCCTCGTAAACCCACCAAGCCTTAGATCAAGCGCCAGAAAGCAAGGATTTCGGCTCGATTTTTGGATCATCGAGGTTTCAGTGTGTGTCCAATACGAAGACTTCGGAGAAGTTCTGATCTGTTCGACAATATCAGTTTAGGGTTGAGGGTTTAGGGTAGCTTCTTAGGTTGCCATAGGGACCCTGTATCTTACTCCCTTTTTTGCCCCTTTTATACCGAAGTAGCCCCCAAATAACACCTAAATACCCCCTTAAGGTCCCTTGTAAGGGTCCCTCCTTTACTCCCCCTAAACCCTAAATCCTACACTACGGTTTAGGGGGGTTCGGCGGTCCCCTCGCATCGTGCACCTCAGGAGGGGTGATGAAGAAATCTCTCCGAGTCGGCGGAAGAAAGCGAAAGAACATCTCTCGGCGTTTGTAGGGTTTAGGGTTTAGGGTTTAGGGTTTAGGGTTTAGGGTTTAGGGTTTAGGGTTTAGGGTTTAGGGTTTAGGGTTTAGGGTTTAGGGTTTAGGGTTTAGGGTTTAGGGTTTGGCTGTAGAACGAGAACGGCCTGGGCAGAAAGGGCAGCAGTCGAGTCCCTTGTGAAAAGGTTTTTAGGTGTGCCCTTAACCTCCTAAACTACAAAAAACCCTAAAACCCCCACATTCAGCCAGCCCCTTTTGTGTTCACCCAAAACCCTAAACCCGGACCCCAACATCGAATGGCGGCATCATGCGAGGTCTGGGTTCCGATCCCCTATAAAACCCTAGGGCTCATACTACAGAACCCTTCAAAGAAGGTAAATGACCATAGCAAGGGACCATGTAACGTCCCTTAGAATTCTATGACCATCGAGTCTATTAAGAGGATAAAAGTGTAGGTTTCTCTAGGTATGCTGGGCTCTACAGCTTCTGCAAGGTTTGGGATCCAGCAGCCTTTTGAATTCGATCGTGGGGGCAGAAGGCTGCTTTCGCCTCAAAAATGTTTTTCATCGGGGGAGCGGGGGGGTTGCTGAGATTCTCAAACCCTCGAAGAAAGGTAGAACCCGAAGCTCACAAAGACCCGTGTGTTTTGGAGGCTTGCAGGTTTCCGTGGGGGAGAGTTCTTTTCGTGCGCCGGATGCTTCAGGCTTTGGGTTTTGAAGGCTTGGGGTTTAGGGACGAGGTCTCAGGGACAAGAACACCACTACACCAAGACGGTGCTTCTGCGCACATATTGGGTATAAGGCACTTTGGCGTCATGGCAAAAAGTCGATGCGACAATCCAGCATGCTGCACAGCAGCCAAGAGGCTGCAGAATTACTAAGCTGAGCCCGAGGGGCGGGGGCACGAGTTCCGGAGATCTTTGGGTTTCGGGTTTAGGATTTAGGGTGGAGGGTTGAGCCATGTTACCACTCTATCCATCCCCCTTCTCCAGGTCGTTTCGGGGCCACTTTCCAGTTCGGCCGCTGCGACATGGGTGCCCAAGTGTTGTCAGTGATTGAGGTGGGCGGTTGAAGCCAAAAAAAAATAACTGCAGAATCCCTCAAGATGACCATCCAGCAAGGTACATTCTGTCTTTCAATGAGCTGGATGTAGCGGAAGTACCGAAGTTGTTTGAAAAAACGATTCAATCAGCAGTTCCTATCCAAGAAATTCGCGATTCAAGCACAATTAATGCCTGGTTCAAGCACTGGCGGTTCAAGCACGCACGATTGCATTCAAACACAACTCCCGATTCAAGCAGTGGCGCTTGCTTCGGGGCTCTTTGAGTTCAGGGCTTAGGTTTTTTTGTTTTTTTTTGTTGTTTTTTTTTTTCACGGCTTAGTGTTTTTAGCCCTTTTAGCGTTTGGCGCTCATGGCTGACTGGACACTCTCTCTATATATATATATATATAGATATGTATATATATATAGATACATAATAGAAAAATAGAAAAGGGCGAAGGTATTGAGAGTCGAATGAACCAGGTGCAATTGTCAACTACGCAGATTGCCTTAGTAACTACGTTTACTATAATCCCTATTAAGGACTGTTAGTATAAGGGGGGCATCCCAATATGTCTCTTTTCTTTTTGGCGGCAAATTGGAAACCGATTCGCTCACTGGAAAGACCATCTTGGGCACTTTGAAAAGCTGGCTTTGCGCACTCCAGCCGCGGTTGCGCCCACAAGCAGCTTCGTAGGGTTTAGGGTTTCGGGAGGGGCTGCAAAGCCCCAAGCCCGCTGATCTAAGCCCCCAAACCCAAAAAAGAAACTCATAAACCCTAAAAACCCTGAACCCCACACCTGTAAATCCCAAAATGCTCAAGCCTAACATCAGCGCAACAAAGTACAGCCCTCAACCCCAAAAGCCCTAAGCCACGTCCTCAGCCCTGAAAAAACCCTAGCCTTGAGTAATCGGGGGCACAGTAGGGGGTGCAAAGCCCATAAACCCTTTTTGCATCCGCTACTCCTTGCTGCCTTGCTTTTGCGAACAGCACGCTACGCACTGGAAGCCCCATACTCTGAAGAAAACTGAACACGGTGGCTGAGCATGTCTTTCAGGCCTCAAGGTTTTCTTTCAACAGCACACCAAAGATAGATTTTGACCTTCAACAGCTTTGAACATTCTAGCCAGTTCTCATGGGCTTTCTTCAGCTTGCGGGTGAACCCTTGCGTCCTGGGTGTTAACGCTACCCTTGCCTGATCGTCCTGGCTTCCAGGTGGATTCGGGCCATCCCAATGCCGGAGCCGATGGCCACAACCTGAAGGGTTCTGATCTTTGCGCTGCCTGGGAGGAAGTCCAGGGGCTGGTTGCGAAGGGCTGGCTACGCAGAGTACCCGAGGAAGACTTGGCGGATACTGAGGACATGGTGCACGGGAATGGGAGGGATCGTTGATGATGAGAGTATGGGAATTATTATGTTGCATTCCTGGGTGTTATGGGTTCTGTTATGGGTCTGCTGTATGTAATTGTTGGATGACGGGCGATGATTGATGTCATGAACCAAGTTTGGTCAACTGCGACTCTTGTGGAATGATTAACAACCAGCATTGGGTGGAATGCGTTTCGAAACCGAGCTGATGCAATGCGGCCATGCTGGAGAGAATTTCCAGTCATTGCTTGGTCAGGGAACAGGGTTTTGTTCAGCGACGCGGGGGTATCCCAAATCGGGAGTGCCACATGATGGGGGCAGCTGACAGTAGCTGATGTCAGACACCCTTCCATGGTCACGCCAGAAAGCTTCCACTGGGCATACGGTGGGTTTGATGCAGCGCCACTCTAGATACCGGAGAAGTCGGAAAGGCTCAAAGTCCGCGAGTCCAGAAACTGAATTGAACCGTAGTCGAGCAGCGACCGCCTGGTTGCAGATCGATTAATATTACTATGTATGTGTGCATCTGTGCACTCTTATCCTGATTCGGGCCGGGCAAGGAGGCAAGAGGTTCCACACACTCCCAGACACCCCCCCATGATCTCACACATGATTTCTGACATGACTCACTTGGCTTGTTGTCAGGGCAGGAGTTTTATCTCCATCCAATTGTAGATCCTCCCAGACACGAAACCAGTCCTTCAATGTTGGGTCAGATCTCAGCAGAAATCCAATAATGTAGGGGTCGGAATAATTACGAATGGTATTCCCTTAGGGTCCCTTCATAAATGAACTATAATAACCCCCAAAACCCTATTCTGATCATACAGGCCTATATTATCATCGAACATCTCCTCTACTCCAGAGTCTACTCCATTATCCGGTTCGCAAAGCCCCCCCATCCCTATGGGAAGCAAGGTTTGAATTGCTGTTTGTTATCTACTATTTGCTTAAGTACCCCCAGCAAAGAAGTGAAAATCCCTATAGTGCCCTTGTAAGGATTTTTATTTTTATTCTTCATTTTTTTTTTTTTTTTTTGGGGGGGGGGGGGGAGGGTTTCTTAAGCAATTAGTAGCTATTGGTGAGTGTATATATTGGGTGTTGTTTTGGGGGTACAGGACTTGGAGCGGCTTCGTGGTGTGCTTTAGACTTTCTCTTCTTGCTCGGGCAGCTCTAAGGAGACTCCAGGGATACACGGAATATGAACCCTACTTCATGTATTCTTTAAGGGTGGCCTTCCTGGTACTGCAATGAAGTGGTGTAGAGCCGGATGCAAGCAACGTCTGCTTGAGCGACGTAGCAGAAAAAAAGACATTGTTGCACCCATTGGATGATGAATGAGCCATGACTCTAAGGGTAGTTACGTAAGTTACGTACATTAACTTGTATAGGCTATACAAGGGGTATAAAGGGGTCCCCTTTTAAGGGCCCAGACTAAGGGACCATGTAACTACCCTTAATAAATGACTCTTGACAAATCTTCGCAGGAGAGGATGAAGTATCAGGGCCTTTGGGCCCACTTTTGGTGCCCCGGCGGCTTCTCCGAGTTGCTCCAGCACTACCTGGGCACGTCCTCAGCGCAGCTGCGCCTGGGCCGCGTGGATCGGGTGACGACTCTGGAGGCGGCGGTGGAGTCTTAGTAGTAGAGTAGGAAACCCTTGAACCTTTTTGGGGCTTTATAACAATTCTGTATGGTACCAAAGGTTAACCTTTAGTTCTCCTACTGCCCTAAACCCTACACCCTCAACCCTAAACCCTGGACAACTGAGGAGTTGTGTGGCACCGAGAGAGCCAGCGGGCAACCGATGAGAGACGAGGCCAGGGCTGGGGCAGAGGGAGTTGGGCGGGTTTAGGGTTCAGGGTTCAGGGTTTAGGGTTTATAGGGTTTAGGGTTTGGATGCTGATAGGGTAGAGCTCCGGGTTCAAAAAGGGTTTGGATGCTGCTTGGGCAAGAGGCGGATCATTGCGGTTTGATTAGACTTAAGCCACTCATACACATGGTGATGAACGATGACGAGCGCAATGAGCTGACATTATATGAACCTTGCGTTCTTCTGCCCAAACCACCATGCAACCATCGATCGAAGTAGGCCAGAATCCGCCGTTGCAGCAAGCGTCAGGCGGACCTGGTGATCCTAGCCGTGCCAGCGCCGGAGGTGTTGTCTCTGGTGTCTTTGCCCGAAGGGGTCGTGGAAGCCTTGAGCCAGATTCGCTACGACAGCCGAGTGGCGGTTGCCCTGGTGTTGGATCATGCTGTCTATCCGGCTGCACCTTAGATGAACTTGGCAGCTGTGGACAGTTGTCCAGGCTTTCTGGTGACCAGCGGCGGTGTTTCCGCTGTTTGGGTCGAGTTTTCTAAAAAAATCTGGGCTCCGAGTGCATCCAAATACTACAAACTGGTGCTCAGAATACCACAATGTCCGACCACATTCCTGATAGTTGCTGCCATGTTGGCGTCACATTCTTATCAGATCCCTAAACCCTAAACCCTAAACCCTAAACCCTAAACCCTAAACCCTAAACCCACGACCGGCAGGTCCGGGAGGCCTTCGCTGGAGCCGCCGAAGTGGCGCTGGACATCGACAACAACAGCGACTTGGTAGCCCATGGTAACCCTTTGCCCCTTTTTCTATTTGGGGTTGGTTTAGGTCGGGTTTAGCTCGGGTTTAGGGATTAGGGTTTAGGGTCTCGGGCTTAGGGTTTAGGGGTTTGTGGGTTTATTGGTTTCTGGGTTCCCTTATAAGTAACCAACCCCAAAAACAGGGTGCCCTTATTGTCACGTGCTTACTGAGTGGTACCCTTTGCCCTTTTTTCTTTTGGGTTATGGGTTCCGTGGTAAAGCAACCAACCCAACAAAACAAGCAGGGTGCCCTTATCATCATGTGGCTTACTGGGCTACTACGAAGGTGGGGTCCACCTGGTGTCCTGGCAGAACATGAAGCATGGTGACTTGGTAGCCCAGTGGTACCCTTTACCCCCCTTTTTTGGCTCAAGGTTCCCTTGTAAAGTAACCCTAAACCCTAAACCCTAAACCATTGCACTCATATGGTTACTGGGCTACCCAGGCAAGCATGGCGAGGTCGCCCATGGAGATCCCATGCAACTCGTGGTGCACTCCACGTGTGGGGCGACGTGGCAGGGTCCAGGCGAAGCTCTGCAGGCGGTGAGCGAACTCTGCGGGCTGCCTTTAAAGGAGCTGGAGGGCCTTGTGTTGGGATCCAAAGTGATTCTTGGTAGCCCAGTGGTACCCTTTTTTCCTGTTTTCGTTGGTCCATGGTTCCCTTGTAAGGTAAGCAACCCAAGAAAGGTTGCCTCTGTTATATAATATGGTTGCTTGGCTACAAAGGATTGATTGGAAAGTCTGTCAGATGGTACAGCCATTGGAAAGTATCCCGACAAAGCTGCGGGTATCCGAACCATGTTTCCAGCACGGTCGCGTTGTGGTGGCCGGAGATTTCTGGTGCCAAAGTAGCTTTCTGGGCTGCTATTGCTCTGCCACAGCCGCTGTGCGCCGAGCGGTTGCCCTACTGAAGGAAGATGAACAGGCGATTTTCAAAACGCGTCAGATAGCCTCCTGAACCTCATCTGTCGTGTGTAAAGTGGCATCCAGTGTGTGGCGTATCCTCCGGGCAAATGGACCAAACAAACATGAGAAATCGCAAGCCCCTCAGCTTTCACGCTCAAGCATCTCAAGCCTCAAATCTTTCACCCTGAACGCTTCAGACTCATGTTAAGCTTTGTGTATCGTAAAGCCTTCATGCCCAGACTAGAGTAACCGAACACTTACCCAACACTGAGCTGCTAAGTTCCCAGGCAATCCACGAATCCCACTGCCTTCAGAACGGAGCTCTCAGTCCTGAGCCTTGTCATGCCCACAACGCCTGCATTTCTGAAGTCCGTCCCCCCCACCATCCCGAAACCCTAAACCCTAAGCCCTAAACCCTAAACTATCCTAAACCCTAAACCCTAAACCCTAAACCCTAAGCCCTAAACCCTAAACCCTAAGCCCTAAACCCTAAACCCTGAACCCTAAACCCTATAAACCCTAACCGCCATGGCGATGTCGGCTCTGGTGACCCTGGCCTTGCTGCACAGATCTGTCGGGCAAGAGGCCGGGGTCAGGGATGTTCTGATCTCGGGGTTTTGGGGGCTTTTGCCTTAAGGTTAGGGATCATGAACGTCAGGGGAAACTAAACCCTGGTGCTTGGTTGCCGGTAGCACCGGATCCCCCCCAGTAGCCACGTCAGAAGCCCTGAGCCTCAAAGCACGACTTGCAAACCCCCCAAAAAAATTGAAACCCCAAGGCTCCTGAAACTTGGGACGTTCCCCCTTATCCTAACAGTCCTTAATAGGGTATTATAGTCCCCCCCCCCCCCCTATTAGAATCCCTGTTTGTATAAAGAAGCTCGAAGTCCCAAAAACCGACCTGTAGAGCTGAACAGCCAACTCTTTTTGGGGATGATAATCGGGGAGTACTAGAAATCCCTATGAAGGAGCTGTTAGTATACTTACCAGGGCCCCCTATATGTACCCTTTAAAGGTACCTCATTACCTCATTCCCTACTAACCAACAGCAAGATTAGGGAGCTGTCAGTATAAGGGGGGGAACAACCCGAAACCCTAAACCCTTTAGTATAAGGGTGAACATCCCAAGCCATGTGCCTCATGGAAGGAGGTCCTGACGCCTTTGGGCCGGGTGCGCGGTAGGGCCACCCGGCTCAGGAAGTCAAGTGGCTAGGGTTTAGGGTGTAGGGTTTAGGGTTTAGGGTTCAGGGCGAGTGTTGAGGAGATTGAGATTCGAGTGCCGGGATTTCTTTTTGCCTTGCTCGCCGTTCGAAACTCACTGAAGTGCTCGGTGCCAGCGAACTCGAAAACCGGAAGCCTGCGAGCCGTGAGCTGATCTGGGGCCCTTCACCTGAGGACTATGGCGACTTCTTGGCATTCAAAGGCCTTCCATACGCCGCAGCTTGCCTACTTCAGGGGTCCTTCGCAACATCCAGGGCTGCAGGGACATACAGTACGACTTAGAATGGGGGCGCAGCATCTGACCTCTGCCCGCACAATCGCAGAAAGTTCTTCCACAAGGGCTTATTTGTGGACTGGTGAGAGCTTCAGCATGTTGAGTTTACGAACTCTATCCCGAAGCCTTGTAATGCTACTGCACTTCGCAAAGGGTCTCCATTGCACCGGCTCATTCTCTCGACCTCCTGAGATTTCTGCCGGAACCAGCGCAAGCTGCCCGCGACTTCAACTTACTAATTCGGAGTAGGGAATGAGGGGGATTAGGTACAACGTGAGCTCCCGTACAGGGTTTATATAGGTTTTCCCGTATTGGGTTGAAGAGAACTACTTTTGGGCGTATGTTTCTGTCAGAGGCGGTAAAGGGCCATCTAGTTGCTAGCCCCAAACCCTAAACCCGAATTCAATGCCAACGGACAAGGCCGGGCGGCAAAAAACTGCCCTAAACCCTTAACCCTAAATCCCCTTGGTGCTCCCCAGCTAAGAGCCAGGGCTAGTCAGTACCCCTAAACCCTAAACCCTGAAGCTCCAAGTAGGGTTAAAGTCGTTTCAAGGAGCCGCCAGACCGCTTCGGCGCTCCACACCCGAAGCGGCCATGGCCGAGCAACGCCCCGGGGACTCGGAAGGTGGAGGATGTTGGGTTTCGGGTTTTTAGGATTTAGGGTTTAGGGTTTAGGGTTTAGGGCTACTGGCAGGGTTTAGGGTTATAGGGTTATAGGGTTTCGGAAAGAGGGTATAAGTTTATGGTATACGGTTTCCCGGGCAGATTCTGGCAACACCCAAAGGAGTCCGGATGCAAAAAATAGAGTTTCCCGCTTTAGGCGGTTCTGGTTTAGCGTTTTTGGCAGTTTTTGCGAACCTCCAAAACACCCTGACCCTCTAAACAGTGAACCCTCAATCCTCCTGGCGTGTTGAAACCTATGGGTTTCCCTACCGGAAACAAAACCTGCAGGCCTGTGTCTGCAAGTGCAACACTCACTTACTGTTGGTTAGTAGGGAATGGGGGACTGAGGTACCCCATATATTCCCTTACAGGATATATGTATAGGTGGATATAGGGTATCTCATTCCCTCATTCCCTATAACCAACAGTATGCTCAGAGTCCCCCTAAACCCTAAACCCTAGAATCAGAGTTTGGACTCAGGGCACAAGTCAAAGACCCGCCGGCTTCAGGGTGGGATTTCGGGGTTTCTTAGGTTTTTGGGTTGAGGGACTTAGGACTTGCAGGGTTTAGGGTTCAGGGGCTTAGGGTTTAGGGTTCATGGCTTTAGGATTCCGGGTTTAAGGGTCTTACCTGCTGGTTTAGGTCCGGTTCAGGTGTAGGGCTTAACTCTTCTGTCCAGTTGCAAGGAAACGCTCGATGCCACGCGCCACGCGGCCTGCATGGTTCATGGTTTTCTGGGGCTTCGCCGCGTTACATGTCCATGTTCTATTTGGGCTTCCTAAGACGCCATACCAAATTTCTGTATGCCATTCATAAGAAATAAAGGCAAGCACCCACAGTAGGCCCTTACTCGCTTTCTCTATAGAACCCCTGTAAACCAATAAGGGAGCCCTTTTTATTCCTAGGTTGCTCTTGGGTCTAGTGAACCCTACTCCGACTCTCAGGTCCAAGGAGACACCCCAAACCCCAAGGATTGAAAAGCGGAGTCCCAAACCCCATGAACCTACAACCCAGAGCCCTTAAATTCGCAAACCTATGCTCACCCACAAGCTAGGAGCCCCAAACCCTAAACCCTAAACCCTAAACCCTAAACCCTAAACCCAATAGGCTCAAGAAGTGAGGAAGCCTGAAAGCCACCTCCGCCAGAGGTTTCCGGGATGCCTGCATCCACGGCGGCGCACACCGGGACGCCGATCCGACAGAATCCTTCGGTGTCCCTGAGCTGCAGGGCTTAGGTTTAGGGTTTAGGGTTTAGGGTTTAGGGTTTAGGGCTTCGGGCTTCGGGCTTAGGGTCCATCCAGGCGAGGACCCTGCGCAAGCCTGCCGCAAAAGGGTTTACGGCTTAGGGTTTCGGCAGTCCGGAGAATCAGATTCCCTGGAGTGATTGCGGGGGCGGGTTTGTATCACACATGCAGCTGGTGAGATTGTCCGGAGCCCAATCTTCAAAAGGGTTTAACTACATAGGGTTTAAACTTAGGGTCTCGGTTGGGATTTAGGAGTTCCAGATTTCGATAGAAGAGGTTCAGGAAAGTGGGATTTTGCAGAGTGGGCTGGGAGGTTGCTGGGGCTTGTGATGGTAAAAGGGTCTCCGGAGATTCTCAGGTTGCGCTTTGAGACTGGGGTTTCGGGCTTGGGACGAGGATGAAAAGCACAGTAGATGTGGCTAAGCATAGCATTGATTTTGGTTAGGGGCTCAGGAAAGAGGTTGCAGAGGCTGTTCGTGTCGCGGCGTCGGGTGTCCGTGTCTCCGTATGTGTGTGTGTGTGGGGGTAATAGTAATGATAGAAGCCCCCATGCATGACAACTTGGGTATCATGGTTCTTGCTCAAGTCCGCACCTTTGGTCATCCCTAAGCCCTAAGCCCTAAGCCCTAAGCCCTAAACCCTAAACCCTAAACCCTAAACCCTAAACCCTAAACCCTAAACCCTAAACCCTAAACCCTAAACCCTAAACCCTAAACCCTAAACCCTAAACCCTAAACCCTAAACCCCAACCCCAAACCCGACCAGGAGAGCGAAGACTGCCTCTACGCGAATGTCTGGGCCCCCAAGGCCTGGAGCCCAGGGCCTTCGGGTTTAGGGTTTAGGGTTTAGGGTTTAGGGTTTAGGGTTTAGGGTTTAGGGTTTTAGGGTTTTAGGGTTTTAGGGTTTTAGGGCTTCAGGGCTTCAGGGCTTTAGGGTTTTAGGGTTTTAGGGTTTTAGGGTTTTAGGGTTTTGGGGTTTTAGGGTTTTCGGGTTTTCGGGTTTTAGGGTTTTAGGGTTTTAGGGTTTTAGGGTTTTAGGGCCTTAGGGTTTTAGGGTTTTCGGGTTTTAGGGTTTTAGGGTTTTAGGGTTTAGGGCCTTAGGGTTTTAGGGTTTTCGGGTTTTAGGGTTTTAGGTTTTTAGTGTTTTAGGGCTTTAGGGTTTTAGGGTTTTAGGGTTTTAGGGTTTAGGAGTTTCGGGTTTAGGGGTGCTTTGCTCCAACAATTTGGGGAACGCTTGTTAGGGGGTGTAGAAGGAGAAGCCAGCTGATGGTGTAAGGAAAACAGGGACGGAGCGACGGATTTGGCGTTGCCGGGGCTCAGCGATAGACACTTCCTAGATGCTTCGGCAGTCCACCATTGTGCGTTCGAGCCAGGGTGCGCCCCCTCGCAATAAGCCTTCTATGTAGGGTTTATGGTTTAGGGTTTAGGGTTGAGGGGCAAGCAGAGCCCACTACCACCGCAACAGCCCGAATGACGACGCATGGGAGGAAGCGAATAGCTTATGCTGTTCACGAAGCAAGAGAAGCCAATTTCGGGGTCGGAATAACTACCAATAGTACTTGTGGTCCCTTTGCAATGAAACAATAGTAACCCCCGATATTCGGATGTTCCCCCTTATACTAACAGTCCTTAGTTGGGATTATAGTACCCC